AGATGATCTCTTTCTTTGCCCTGTTCCAGTCAATGCCGTAGGTGGGGAGGGGAGTTGGGAGCGGAGCGGGGGACCGGGGCCGGGCAAGAATGATGCAGTTAATGTGTAGAAATTACTGCATTTTTATAAAGGGACGGGTGTAGGGGGGAGCGCCAATAATTGCACACATACACAAGGTAAAATGAAATGTGGTACCTGGTAGTGTATCTTTCGCTCCTGGTTCACGCTTGAAAATATCACGCAGGGATTGCAACCACAGAAGGAACCTACGCGCCCGCTTCGAGCGTACGGTGGGGTATACCCCCGCGGATCAGGTTCGAGCCTTTGAGTGAACCCACGTCCTTCAGACGGCTTTCAAGGTCCTTGATCAATGCTTCGGTAAAGGCAGAGGCGAGTTTCCAGAAAGTGTGGATGTCCCCACTGTCAGAACACGCTCTTAACTCTTGACTTAGTAACTTAGGGTTTACCTAGGAAGCGTGAGTGTCGAGAGTGAGCATGGCAAGAGAATTGGGCAAAGAGGGGATTCACTAAGGAATGTTTACAAGATATAGGATAGGGGAGAGGATAGGGTACACCACCAGCAGTTGAACCTAATAACTAACTAATACACTAGCAAGCTGTAGGCAGTTAGGATATGCAATATAATTCAACACACCCCCGTAACTGCCTACGGCTATAGCTAGTGGTGTCTGGCACCAGGTCGCCTGGAGAGCGGTTGCTGTAGCTGGGATAGGCACAGAAACAGCGGTGGCTGACCGGCAGCACCTGTGAACGCCAGAACGGAGGAGGGCGCGGAGAGCGCGGAGGAGGGCTGGGATAGCCGGAGGGCGAAGGATGCTGGTCGCTCGCCATCTACGAGCAAACACAACTGTTGGTGAGGAGGAGGAAGCTGGTGGTGGTGCACAGGAGGAGAGCAGAGGAGATGCGGCTGGAGAGGAGAGAGGAGGAGGAGATGCGGCTATAGGAGAGGAGACTGGAGGAGGAGATGCGGCAGAAGGAGAGGAGAGGAGAGAGGAGGAGATGCGGCTGGAGGAGAAGAGGAGAGGAGAGGAGAGGAGAGGAGAAGAGGAGGAGGAGAGGAGAGGAGAGGAGAGGAGAGGAGGTGGCTGGCGCGGCAGAAGCTTTCCCGCCACCCCCTCATCCCCCTCCCCCCCATGCGCTGGCGCTGGCGGAAGTGCTGGCGCTGGGCGCTGGCGTCGCGCTGGCGCTGGCGCCCGCCGTTGGCGCTTGCGCTAGCGCCCGCCGTCGGCGCTGGCGTCCGCGCTGGCGCTTGCGACCGCCGTTGGCGCTGGCGGTGGCGCCCGCCGTTGGCGCTGGCGCTGGCGCCCGCCGTTGGCGCTTGCGCTGGCGCCCGCCGTCGCCTCGCTGGCACGCTCGCCACTGGCAGAGCGCGACGGGGCAGGCGAAAGGGGGCAGCGCGACGGGTGCTGCTTTGCCCGTCAATGTGCCTCTCGTGTAGCTCGTACGTGTTAGGGCGCGTAACTTTTCCTGTTTCCGTCCAATTCATGTTTTTTTTAATGGGTTGTATGATGTCTTGACGTTTCCAGAAAGTGTGGATGTCCCCACCACTGCTTTGCCCGTCAATGTGCCTCTCGTGTAGCTCGTACGTGTTAGGGCGCGTAACTTTTCCTGTTTCCGTCCAATGTCCGGACGGAGCCCCCAAACCGTCCATCATACAACCTTGCCAAAGCGTCCCTGCCACACGCATAACACGAATAGGTTCTTAAAGCTTTCGTATACATTTGAAAGTGGGAGTTTCAGAAGTTTAGAAATTTGAAAACTGGTTACCCTATTACAGGTCATTTCCCTCGTCCCACAAGGGAGATGATCCCCCCGACACCCCGCACCATCTCCTCTGACTGCTGGTTCAAAACTTTTGAAACAACAAAAGGATACAAATTACCATGTTTCTCAGAACTAGGCCACTACGCACGATAGGCCGAAAACTACGTAGATAAGCAGATCGCGATTCAACAACCAGCGCAAAGAACCCCGTTTCCGACACAAACAGCGACGTAACTAGACGTATAGAGTCATTACGCGTCCGCACCAACGCCAGTTCCGCCCTCTCACACTCGCCTCTCCCGCATCACACGCGTTCGACATTGAAATAGCACTAGCCGCGCCCGCTAGCTTTCAAACGCGGCATCCCTCCACCTACCACTCTCGTCGCGCCGCATCAAACCGCTGCTTGTGGCCTAGCCGGCGCCGGTTCTAGTCACCTCGCCGAGCCGATCACAACGGACCTCCTTTCATTAGCCTCGCCTCGTTGTCCGTCGCGGCGTCGCATCGCCTCACCTCGCTGCCTCCTCACACCTCCTTGAGCACGCACGCTGCATCTGAAACTGCCGAACAGCGGGATCTCGCACGATCACAGTCGCCTCCCGCTCGCGCAGCTTTGTTACCCCGTTTCCGCACTAGCCACGGCAGCCGCACTTGAGGTCGCGACGGACTGCCGAAACGGTCTCCTTGACCAGCCAATTCTTCTCCCCTTCCCAGCGCCTTCCCATCTCCCCTTTTCGCCTCCCTATTTCGCCTGCGTGGCTCCGTATCTCGCGTTAGTGCCTCCGAATTCCCACTTTCTGCCTTCCGATCTCCCTTTCTTGCCTCCCTGTTCCGATCTTCCCTTCCCTCTTTCCCCATTTCCCCTTGCCTTCCCGCATCCCCAATTCCCCTTTCCTCCACCGCAATTCCCCTTCCCGTGTCATGATTACCCCTTCCCGCCTCCCCGGTTTTCCTTCCCGCCGCGCATTTCCCCTTTCCGCCTCCCCGATTCCCATTCCCGCTCCCGGTATCCCCTTCACACATTTGCGTTTCCCCTTCCCGCACCCCATTTCCCCTTCCCGCCTCCCCGTTTCGCACTCCCGCTCTCCCACATTCGCGTTTCCCCTTCACGGTCCCCATTACCCCTTCCCACCTCCCCGTTTCCCCTTCCCGCTCCCCGTTTCCCCTTCCCGCTCCCCGTTTCCCCTTCTCGCTCCCCGTTTCCCCATCCCACCTTCCCGTTTCCCCTTCCCGCTCCCCATTATCCCTCCCCGCCTCCCCGTTTCCCCTTCTCGCCCCCTCGTTTTCCCTACCCGCCTCCCCGTCTCCCTCTCGTTTCTCCACCTTCTCCCTCTCGATTCCCCCCTTCCCCCTCTCGTCTACCCCCCTCCCCCCTCTCATGTCCCACCTTTCTCCTTCTCATTTTTCCCCATTCTCCGTCTCATCCCCCCCCCCCCCCCCCCCCCTTCTCAAGCTCACCTACCCCCTTTCTCCCTCTTAGCTCCTCTCTTCCTACGCCCTGCTTCCCCCTTTACTCTCTCGTCCCTACACCCTTCATTCCCCTCTCCGCTCTCTGCCTTATACCCTTCTACCTCCTTTCCCCTCTCTGTCTTACACCCCTCTTGATTTATTCTCCACTCTGCCTTACTCCCTTCTTCCACCTTTCCCCTCTCTACTCCACACCCTTCTTCTCCCACCATGCGTTCTCCCCCTTATATCCTGCTAAACCCCATTTCCCTCTCTTCCCTACACCCTGCTTCCCCCTCTCTCTTCTCTGCCTTACGCCCTGCTTTCCCCTTTCCCCTATCTTCCCTACACCCTTCTTCCCTCTTTCTACCCGCGCTGCTTCCCTTTTTCCCTATCTCCCTTTCCCTCTTTCACCCTGCTTCTCCCGTACCCTGCGACGTGGTAAGGACGCGAGGCGACACATACGACGTCGTTTCGATTCTGGACGAGCTAGCTGGCGAGCTGGAAGGATTCTGGTAACCACACAACCGTCCGAACGGCTGGACGTCCGGACAAAACAAAGGAAAAATGTCACACGCCCTAAGGGCTGAGGCGCCGCAGCGGGTTCGGCGATAAAGGGCCATGGTGCGCATCGGGTGAGGCGCTAAGTGGGAAAGGCGCGCAGCGGGTGAGGAGCCAAGCGGGAGAGGCCTACCTAGCGAGTGTTGAGAGTGGCGGCGTGGCCAACGCATGAAACGCGCATCCGCTCAGTGAACACGGCCCCTAAATTATCAATCGCGTGACGGCTTACTCGAGTGCGGCGACCCAGCGTCGTGATGCAAACCGCTAGCCTCGGTTCCTCTATCTATGCTTCGGCTGGTGAGTCACTGCAAGGTTGGGTGACGGGGGAATTTCCCGTGTTTGGAACCCTCAAAGGTGCAAGTTTTCGCAAAACCTCTCGCCACCCTCATTTGGTTTCGTTTGAGCGAATTTTTTTGGGATACTGTGCAACCGTGAACAGTACTTGCAAATGTATACGAAAGCTTTAATGCACTGATAACATTGCTTACTCCATGGCTACAAACGTGTTTAGGGTAGTTCCCTGTGTGCGATGCGGTGACAAGAGACAAGGTGCGGGATGCGTGTTCGAAGGCGCGCAACCAAACTGTTCTTATCACCCATCATGACACCGGCACCATCGGTGATGGTGTCGCAGATTCTGGAAAGATCCACTCCACACGACTCGAGGTGAGTTAGCAGCACTGCTTGCAACGATGCTGCGTCACACTTCTCCACCGTCAAGTGCACGAAAAACTTTACGACGACAACACCATCACGCAGGATTGTCATGTAGACAATCATTTGCTTTCCTCGTCGGCGATAAGTGCTTTCGTTCAACTGGATCCCGAGATATGGGCTTGATCGGATGTGCCGCATCTTCTTCGCCCTCAAGTAGCAGACCATGGTTTCAATCATCTGAGTCGAATACTGCCCCTCACTCGCTGTAGTAGGTGTCTTTCTCCTTCAGGGGCATTTCTGGCGTCCCCCGTTCCGCCATGAACTGTACAAGGGACACGAACAACGCAATAGGGGCATCAGACTTGCAAATGTACTGAACAATTTCCAGCAGCCGTGTCAAACGTTTAGCTTCGTCATTGCCAATCTAAAACGATTCAATCGACTTCGGCTTGGTCTTCTTGCCGTCCCGCTGCAACTTTTTGTCTGGTTGCGTTTCTGTGTTTGCGACGTCCCTCACGACCGCCAACCCCCTTCAGCCTCCCCCCCCACAGCGGCAGACGCGGCAGGGCGGTGGCGGCTGGCGCTGCAGGCGCGACTTCCATCACGGCCGCCACCCCCGCCTCCCCCCCCACAGCGGCAGACGCGGCAGGGCAGCGGCGGCTGGCGCTGCAGGCGCGAGGGGCCGCAACAGGACGCGACAGTGCGTGGCATGGCGCTCGAGGGGCGGCCGCGACGGGGCAGAAAGGGGCCCTGAGAGTCGCGACAGGGGCCGCGACAGGCGATCGCGACGGGGGCCGCGACAAGGGCCGCGACGGGGGCCGCAACATGGGCCGAGACAGGCACGACAGTAGCCGCGATGGGGGACGCGACGGGGGCCGTGACGGGGGTTGTGAAAGGGGGCCGCGACGGGCGTGGCGGGGGGCGCGGCGGGTAGGAAGGCTGCTATGGCGATGTAAGGGGGGAGGGGGGTGGGCTAGGACTTAGAGCCTAGCATTCTAGGCCATATTAAATATGGTTTAGGAAGCTCGGAACTTGGAAGAGTGGAAGGAGGAAGAGGAGTTTGACTAGGATGAGAAGGCAGTAATGCAAGCAAGGTCTAAGCAAGGTGCACCACCAAGGGTTGTAACAAATGTCTACACTAGTTTATGCTGTAGACACTTTATAGGTATAATTATAATTTGAGAGACACGTATGATTTTCATACAAACAATCGTAACATTTTTATTTGATGTCAGGGACCAGGGCTCTCGCTAGGTTTTGGCTGTCTGAAAGTATATATATATATATATATATATATATAAAAATCCGTCTGACGCTCATATGACGAAGATTTTGTTGTCTGAATGATAAGACGAAAACTTTTACACAATCTGATTCATCAGACGAAATATTATTAGTGGTCTGATGTCGTTCTACTGTTGTCGTACCTAGTTTTCCTTAATATAACAGACACTAGCCTAGCTATAACAGACATCTATCAACATGCAAAGTAGACTAAGTCTTCAATGCTGCTAACTACACAAATCCTAGTCAAAGTCAGTAGCTAGCAAACAACCTAGTCAGAGTCACTAAAGCCGCTCAATTCATCGTCACTGTCATCCTCAGTTTCCACAAATGACTCTCGATGCCACCATCGCCGTAGCGCCCGTACTTGTAGTGGGGATCTCCGAAGACCATGCAGATGCTGCAGCGCATGCAGGGCCGGCCCTCCTTGTTTTCGGAGATGAGTAGCCAAGGAAAATATATCTGCCACTGCTCCTTGCACTTCAGCTGAAGCTCCTCAACCGACAGCTGCTTGCCGACAGGATCTTCGAATTCTTCATCCGCGGGTTCAGGCGCAACGGGTCGCTTCGTGACTGACGGTTTTGGCTGCGTCGGACCGCCCGGACGCCTGAAGTTGAGAACCCGCTGCTGATACCGCTTCTTTGATGACCTGTCGGGCAAGACGGGGTTAGCCCTGAGAGAGGAGGTGGTAGCGACAGATACTGCAGGGATGTTCTTATCGGCACCGTTATGTGGCATGCAAGTAGATACTGGCGTATTAGGGGTTGCGGTTGATGGCACGGAATGATCGCCGCCATTTACCGAGACTGGAGCATCGCAGACGGGCAAAGGAACCGCAGCAGAGGTCGAAGAAATCGGCAGGGCAACAGAAGCGATCTGCTTGCCCCGCATTAGGAAGTCTAACGCCGTGACCCCGGGCGCATCATCGCATGGTACGACGGTGGGGACTGCCATGGTCTATACGCTGGGAAAGAAATTGGTGGGAGGGATACGGTCCATGCCCGGCTGGGTGAGAGTTGAGGACGAGCAGGAGAAACATGCTGCTTAACAAGCCTCGCCCAGCTGCATGAAACCCCGTCATCGTGCAGTGCGAACCGAAAGGCGCTGCGTGATGGGTGCGGGGGGCACCACAACCACTGTGCATTGTTGCGTGACGTCTAGGAAATGAAAATGCGCTGGCACAACGTGACAGCGCGTTGCCGTGGCTGTGGCTGGCCTAGGCGCCGACACCCAGCCACACGACAAACTCCTGGCAGCAGATGCCGCGGTTACATGACAGCGAGGCTGCAAGAAGACACGCACATTGAATGCGCGTGCAGTTACAGGGCAGCAAAGATGCCGGTACCCGTGGTCCTATGGTCTACTGGGCATATGGCCTAGTGGGTCAGTTTGTCGGTTTCAGACTAAGTATTGTACATGCTCTGAAAAATCATATGAACCTAAAACGTTTGTCTTAGGCATCATATGAAAATAAACACACTGTCTTAGGAATCAGATGAATACAAAAAATCACGTCTGAAAGTCAGACTATCAGACCAAATTGGTCTGATAACCAGGGCCCTGTCAGGGACCCTGGCCGCGATCACTTCGTGCATGTACGCGAAGGTGCTGGTCGATCATATTGTCTCAGAGGCCGAATCGCACGGGCCGCACAACGAGGGTGGTCGATGGAATTGAGATACGGTATGCGAGAGATTCGGCGGATCGCGCAATTTCGTCCAATTTATAGATCATAAGCCATTGATATTAACACAAGCACACAATCATGAATACATGTTCCTTTATTGCCGGAATATTAATTAAAAAAAGACATCTACAGGGTTAAATCTACACGAGCACACGAATACGAATACAGGTTCCTTATCTGCCAAAAATAAAGAAGGTTAATACTATGTATGTATCTCTTCTGGACTGCCGAAATGTTTGCAGACACAATCACCACTCCCCTTATTCACTGCTGCTGAAGCTGAAGCAACTGCTGGTGCAGCACCTGCTGCTGCAGCTGCAACTGCTGCTGCAGCTGGAATTGCTGCTGTTGCTGCTGCAGCCATACCTGCTCCAATCGCTGCTGCTCCTGATGCAGCCGGTCCTGCTGCTGTTGCTGCAGCCGATGCTTCAGCTCTGCACTCATATCCACACGCAACGACCCGGGCAGCTGCCAAAACGTTGCGGGCAGGTTCTGAAGGGCCGGGCAGTCGAGCCGCAGGAGGCGCAAGTGCTGCAGCTGCCCAAAATTCTCGGGCAGCTGCGCGAGGTTCTTGCTTGCCAGGGAGAGCTCCTCCAGCGCTGCGAGGCGGCCGAAGGACACGGGCAGCCAGTTGAGATTGTCACAGGAGACGTCGAGGAGGGAGAGGCTGGCCAGGGCAGAGAGCGAGGAGGGGAGCGACTCGAGGCAGTGGCACTGAAGAATCTTGAGCGTGCGCAGCGCCGTGAGCTGGCCGATGGAGACGGGCAGCAGCGTGAGGTGCGCACAGGCAAGGGTGAGCGAGGTGAGGAGGGAGAGGTTGCCGATGGACTCGGGCAGCGCGTAGAGCTTGGGGCTGTCGAGCACGAGTGAGCGCAGCGATGTGAGCGCACCGAAGGAGCGCGGCAGCGAGCCCGAGAAGCGCAGCTGCAGGTCCTCCAGGCGGGGCAGCGCGACAAAGGTGGGTGGCAGGGCCGTGAGGTGCGGGCACAGCAGACGCAGCGAGCGCAGACTGGCCAGCGAGCCAAAGGCCAGAGGGAGCACCGATGTGGACGGCAGGGCGGTGGGAGCGGGCGGCAGGCGGGATGGGTCCCAGGAGTCGGTGAGGGGCGAGGAGGGCGGAGGGAGGGGGGTCATGGAGGGAATGGGTGAGGCGGATCGGTGTGACGAGCGCGACCGAGAGGGCGGCGGCGGGGAGAAGGAGGCAGCGAGGGCGCTGAAGATGGCAGCAGCGGGTGTGGGAGGCGGTGGAGGCGTGAGGGGCAGGGGGTCGGGGACGGCAAGAGCAGCAGCCGGTTGGGGCGTGGGGACGGAGGCAGAGCACTCGATGGAGAGCGAGGCTAGCGAGGTGAGCAGGGTGAGGCCGCGGGGAACAGTGGAGGCGGCGTTGGTGGGCAGGGAGAGGGAGCGCAGGCGCTTGAGGCGGGCGAAGAGCATGTCGGGCAGCTGCAGATCCCCCGAGCACCCGTCCAATCGCAGCTCCTCCAGGCTCGCCAGCTCAGCCATGGATGGCGGCAGGCTCTCCAGCGACCCGCTGACGAGGCAGAGCTGAGTCAGCTCCTGGAGGCAGCCGATGCCAGGTGGCACGAGGGAGAAGGCGCCGCGCAGGTCGAGGTGGTGCAGGCGGCGCAGGCGCAGCAGCGAGTGGGGGAGGAAGCGCAGGTGGCCGTGGGCGCCCCACACCTGCAGGTGCGTGAGGCTGGGCGCCAGCAGCTGCAGGTCGTCGGGCAGGAAGGTGGCGTTGCGCAGCGTGAGGTGCTGCAGCTGCGTGAACAGCCCCAGCGATGGCGGCACCGACGCACTCTCCAGTGACTGCTGCTGCTGCTGCTGGTGCTCATAGTGATCCCCAAACAGGCTCCCACCCCCACCTCCACCCCCAGCAGCATCCCCATGGTCCTTGCCACGGCGCGGCGTCTCCCACAGCAGCTCCGTGAGGTGTTGCAGGCGGGCGGCGGAGGGAGGGAGGTCGAGCAGGTCGTGGCAGCGCAGGTGCAGCGAGCGCAGGCTGGAGAGGTCGTCCAGGCAGTTGGGCAGGAAGGCGAGGCCCTTCCACCCCGTCAGGGAGAGGCGCTGCAGCGACGGCAGCGACCACAGGGAGGGCGGCACGAAGGCGGGGAGGGGGAAGGCGAGGTGGAGGTCTTCCAGAAGGGAGAGGCGGCCGATGGAGTCGGGCAGGCGCACCTGCTGCCGCGGGTTGTTGATGTGCAGCGACAGCTGGCGCAGGTGCTGCAGCAGGCCCAAGGACTCAGGGATGTCAATCACACTCAGCACCCCCTGTGGCTCGCCTCCCTCCCCTGCTCCTCCCATGCCTCCTCCCGCCTTTGCTCCCGATATCCCACCCCCCATCCCCGGCCTTCCTGCAAGCCCACCCTCGCTGCTGCTCTTCCCCACACTGCCAGACACCGGCCACGCGCCCGACCCTGAAGCCACAGCAGGCCTGGCCCGCGCAGGGCTGAGATCGCGCCTGGCGAGGTCAGGGGAGGAGTGGAGGGGGTGGTTGGACTTGGAGGGCGTGGCGAGGCGGATGGGCACGGAGTCGTGCAGCAGCTCCGCCACGCTCTTGCTCACTCCTGCTGGCAGCCCGCCCATGCTGCCCCTGATGCTAGGGTTGCCGCTGCCGAAGCTGCTGAACAGCCCTCCCAGGCTGTACCCAGTGGGAGCAGCGGGGGCAGCGGAGGAGGCGGAGTGAGAGAGGCCCGGCATGATGCCCGTCTGCGGCGTCCACCACCCCCCTCCTCCCCCCGCTCCTGTCCCCGCACCCGCTGCGTCCCCACCAACAAGAGAGCGCCAGCTGTCGGAGATGAGGGCGCCGGCAGCACTGCTGGCAATGCGGCCGACGAGGGAGGTGCTGCCGCTAGCAGCACCGATGAGCCCATCCGCTATGGTGCCCGTGATGGTGCCGCCTATTATGCTCCCCGCCATGTGAGATGCCCTGTTCCCCCCTGCTGCTCCTGCACCCGCTGCCCCTCCCTGTGCTGCCCCTCCCAGCGCGCCTGCGCCCCCCATGGCAATGCGGTCATCGGTGTAGCCGCGCGGCATGGCACCCCCACCGGCAGCGAAGAGCAGAGGGCTGCAGGTGCCGCTGCGGGGGGCGTAGGGCGAGGCACAGGCAGCGCATGTGGGGCATGTGGATGACGGTGCCTGGTGGTGCTGCCGGTGATGGTGCTGATGGTGGTGGTGGTGCTGATGGCGCATGTGACTGGATCCACCTATCCCTCCATTCGCCCCTCCCACTCCCCCCCCTCCCGCCCCCGCAGCCACCCCTGGCGGCATTAAGCTGCCCGGGGCAAACAGAATCTTCATCAGCTGCTTCAGCTGCATGCCATTGGCCGAATCGCCGCCCGAAACCACAGACCCAGCAGCAGCAGCACCGGAAAAGGAGGTGCGGGGCGGCGTGGCCTCAATGGAGAGGCGCTGCAGCAGCGAGCAGCCCTTGAAGAGCGTGGCGAGCCCGTGCGGGCCGTAGGCAAAGCCCAGGTCGGGGTCGGGGCCGAGGGCGAGGTGCGTGAGGGCGGGGCAGGTGTAGGCGATGGTGCAGAGGAAGTCGTCTGACACGGGCGCGTCGAGGGCGGCGCAGGGCAGCAGCAGCGAGTGCAGGGTGCGCGAGTAGGAGAGCGCCCTCAGCAGCCCCATGGCGTTCACCCGCTTGCCCCGCGGCAGCTTCAACCGCGTGAGTCCCTGCCGGGGGGGAGAGTGGAGTAGGAAACGAGGGTGAGAGTGTGGGCGCGCAGGTGTGCGAGTGTGAGAGCAGAAGCTGAGATAAGCTCAAACTTAAAATCATCTGGAGTTTCACCTGATGATGAACCACATGGGCAGCGGGGCTCACCTGGTGTGCCACCTGGCGCCAGGTGCGGCAGACACAGGAGAAGCTGATCCAGTCGTGAGGCGAGTCGAGGAACGACAGCAAGCTCAGCAGACACTCTGCTGTCAGCCGCGCCCCACTCGCTGCCGCCCCCCTCTGCTGCCGTGCTGCGGCTGCTGCTCGCCGCGATGTGCCTGCAGCACTGCGACCTGCATTCGTGGCTGCGCCCGACCGGCCGCTGCGTGCTGCACTGGCTGCTGTCAGCCCCGCGCCCAAAGCCGGGAACGCACCCATGCCCGCTGCAGCAGCGGCGGCGGCGGAGGGATCGGAGTGGTGGAGCATGGCGGTGCGGCGGTTGCCTGATGTGTTGGAGTCCGATGTATCGAGGTCTGGTGGGGACATGTGGAGGGACGGTATGGACAGCAGGGGAGCACAGAGAGGTGCGGTGAGGCACAGAGGTGCAAGCAAGGGGTTGAGTGGAGAGAGGCGATGAAGCGTGGATAGAAAACACAATCTGTGAAGCAAGCACTTCGGCGCACCATGCACGATGGTGTTACATGTGCGAATGCGGTTGAGTTGCCACAACGCAACGCACCTGCATCCGTGTCGTAGGGTGTGGAGAGCTCACTCTCCTCCTCGCTGCCCGCTGCCATGCCACCCATGGCCTTGGCGCGTGCCGCCGCCAGCTGGTGCTGCAGCAGCAGGGCCAGCCCTTTGGAGCCCCCCAGCGCGCCCATCACTCCCTGCGACCCGCCCTCCGCCATGCCCGTCCCGAATATGTCGATCACCGCCCCCTCCTCCTCCTCCTCTTCGTCCTCCTCATCCTCTTCATCCTCATCCTCATCCTCATCCTCATCATCCTCCTCGTCCTCCTCTTCCTCATCATCCACCTCTTCACTGTCTTCCTCTTCCATCTCCTCCTCTTCATCCTCCTCTCCCTCGCTCTCATCATCAACATCCTCCACTTCACTCCCTTCCTCTTCTTCTTCCTCCTCTTCTTCGTCTTCTTCCTCCTCCTCGTCCTCCTCTTCTTCCTCCCCTTCCTCACCTTCTATCTCATAATCTTCTTCCTCCTCACCTCCCTCACCCGCAACATTGAATGCAAACCCACCACTTTCCTCTCCCTCCTCTCCCTCCTCCCCCTCCTCTCCTTCCTCTCCCTCTTCTCCCTCCTCTCCTTCCTCCTCGTCCTCGTCATCCCCCTCTTCCTCCTCTTCCTCTTCATCCAAGTCCTCTCCCTCCACTCCCTCTTCTTCTTCCTCCTCCTCCTCATACTCTCCCTCATCCTGCCCCATGTCCTCTTCCTCCCCGCCTGCCCCCTCCTCCACCCCCTCGCCCTCCTTTCGCGCCCCAAGCCCGCCCTGCATGAACTCGAACGTGCTGTCCAGATGATCCCCCCCTGCGCCCATGCCCTCTGCCCCACTGCCCTCGCCTCCTGCTCCCTGCCAAACCTGTTGTTGCTGCTGCTGCTGCTGCTGCTGCTGCTGCTGCTGCTGCTGCTGCTGCTGTTGAAACTGCTGCGGCTGAAACTGGTGCTGCTGCTGAAACTGCTGCTGCTGCTCAGTCGGAAAGCCTTGATTGTTATGCAGCCCGCCATCACGCCCCTCTGCATCTGCATACTCTCCCTCCTCCACGAACTCTCCTTCTCTGTACTCGCCCTCTTCATAACCCTCCTCCTCGTATTGCCCTTGCTCATCGTATTGCCCTTGCCCTTCAAACTGCCCCTCCCCATTCTCCCCGTGCCCCACACTAGACTGGTTCTGACCTTCCCCATACCCACCGTGAGCTTCATTATAATCACCCTCGCCCTCATGGCATTCACCTGCGCCCCAATCACCCTCCTCTCCATAATCCCCTTCGCCATACTGCCCCCCCCCCTGCCCAAATTGCGCCTTTCCCTGCCCAAATTGCCCCTCTCCCTGCCCAAATTGCCCCTCTCCCGGCCCAAATTGCCCCTCCTGACCGAATTGACCATCTTCCTGCCCATATTGCCCTTCGTCCTCTCCAAATTGTCCCTCCTCCGGACCGAATTGCCCATCGATTTGTCCGTATTGCCCTTCTCCCTCCCCATACTGCCCCTCCCCCTCCCCCTCCCCATACTGCCCCTCCTGATAACCGCCCTCTTCATCGCCTTGCCCAGGAAAGCCACCAAACTCCCCTCCCTCCATCTGCTCCCCTTGCACATGGCCATCATAGGCCCCCTCACCACCGTACTCCCCTTCCCCATACCCCTCCCCATCCGGATACCCCTCTCCCTGCCCTCCCTCCTCGCCCTCCCATCCCTGCCCTCCCTCCTCCTCGCCCACCTGGAATCCACCGAACCCAACCTCCCCTCCATCATCCTCGTTATAGTGCTCCCCATCATACTGCTCGCCGTACTCCCCATCAGCACCCCCCTCTTCCCCACCGTCTGCGTGCCCATCCGCTGGGTGGAACCCCCCTTCCCCGTCAACCACCTGCCCCTCCCCCTCTGCTGCATACTGCTGCCCCTCATCGTACTCCTGCTCCTCATCAAACTCCCCCTCGCCCTCGTTATACTCACCCTCCACATATTCACCTTCCTGTTGCTCCACAAACTGCTGCCCCTCGTCTGCATATTCTCCCTCCCCCTCCTCGTACTGCCCTTTCCCCTCCCCATCATGGTACTCCTGCCCTTCACCATACTCCCCCCCAGCACCTTCACCCCCCTCCTCATAATACCCTTCGCCCTCACCAAACTCTCCTCCATGCCCCTCCTCCCCATACCCCTCCTCCCCATACCCCTCCTCTCCATACCCCTCCTCCCCATACCCTTCCTCCCCATACCCCTCCCCCTCCCCCTCCCCCTCCCCCTCCCCCTCGCCCTCCACCACCTGCTCCAGCTCCCCCCCATCCGCCATCCCCCCGTGCCCCTCGCCCCGCCCGCCCTCATCCCCCCCGGCCACGGACCCAAAGCCCCCCAGGGGGCTCCCCAGGGCGCCGTGCCCAAAGGGGCTGCCGAGGGCGCCCTGCCCGAAGGGGCTGCCCAGGGGGCTGCCGAGTGGACTATTGGCAGCAGGCGAGGGTGGCATGTGCATGGCGTCCAGGTTGAACCCCAGGGGGGCGCGCGGGCCCATGGACGGCAGGCGCCAGGCATGCAGCACCTCTGAACTCACCTCGTCCAGCAGCCCCCCCTCCCCCTCGCCCTCGCCCTCGCCCTCACCCTCCCCGCCTGCCAGAATGTGATCGTGCTCGCCCTCATACTCGTCCCCATGCTCGCCCTCATACTCGCCCCCCTGCTCGCCCTCATACTCGCCCCCCTGCTCGCCCTCATACTCGCCCCCCTGCTCGCCCTCATACTCGCCCTCGTACTCTTCCCCATGCACATCCCCGTGCTCGTCCCCATGGCCCTCCTCCCCTTCATGCCCACCCATGCCATGCCCTTCATGCCCGTATTCATCCTCATGCTCCTGCTCCAGCTGCTGCGACCCCGCCTCATCCTGCCCCTCAAACTCCAAGCTGCCCTCCCCATCCAGCTCGTCATCAAATCCATCCAGACCGTTGATCCCCTCATGCTCCTCGTCCATGCGCATCTCCAGCCGTTCATCCATCTCGGCTGCCATCTCCAGCGCCAGCTCTCTCTCCCTCTCCATCTGTCGCTTGCGATCGTCCTCCTCATCCTCCACCTCTCCACCCCCCATCTCGCCCTCCTCGTACCCCCCCTCCTCCTCGCCATACTCACCCTCTCCCTCAAACCTTCCCTCCTCTCCATATCCCTCTCCCTCTTCCCCGTATCTCTCCCCCTCCTCTCCATATCCCTCTACCTCTTCCCCGTACCTCACTCCCTCCTCCCCATACCTCTCACCCTCCTCCCCATAACCCTCACCCTCCTCCCCATACCCCTCGCCCTCACCGTACCTCTCCTCCCCATCCTCATACCCATCCTCCTGCCGCCCTTCCTCATACTCCTCCTCGCCCTCCATCCGCTCCTCCCCTTCCCCATCCCACTCCCCGTCCTCCCTCTCCCGCTCATACACGCCCTCCACCCCCGCGCCATACTCCCCATCCATCTCCACACCCTCCTCCTCACCATCAACGCCCCCATCTCCCTCCATCTCCCCGTCATCCCCCTCCCCATACCCCGGCTGCCCGCGGCGCTGAACGAGGTGCTGCTCCAGCTTGGCGAACACCGAGTCGGAGCGCAGCAGGTCCGACTTCCCCACGCCGCCCGCGCCCACCTGCGCGCGCAGCACCTCCGTCGCCGTCACACTCTGCGACCGCGCCGGCTTCGCCTTGCCCCTCACTCCCCCCCTCCTCCACCCCCCTTGCTCCTCGCCCCCGTCCCCGCCGTCGACCTGCTCGTCCTCGTACCCCTGGTCGTCCCCGTGCCACGCCATGCGCCCCAGCGCCATGGAGTGCGCCTCCACCTTGCCCAGCGACTGTGACCGCGACGCCTGGAACTTGATGCTCGCCACCCGCTCCTGCTCCTCCTCGTCGTCCTCCTCCTCCTCCTCTCCCTCTCCCTCCTCCTCCTCGCCCTCCCCTTCCTCCTCCTGCAGAGTTTCCAAGTACTCCTCCTCGTCCCTCTCGCGCCCGCCATACCCATCCTCCTCCTGCGCTCGCCTGTCCTCCTCACCCTCCTCGTCGCCATCCTCCTCCTCTTGGATGCGTCCGCCGCCCCACTTGCCCCCTTCCTCCGCCCACCTGCCACCGCCCTCATCCCTTTCCCCATCGCTCTGCTTCTCATCCAGGGCCCACGTCACGTTCTTGCCGAGCGACTTTGATCGCGACCCCCTCAGGCCCGTCGATGCCATCTGATCCGCCGGAATCGACGACCGGGATCGCGACGGAGGGCGTGGCTTGAACGGCCCGAGGTCGCCATACTGATCCGCTGCGCCACCGCCACCACCGCCGCGCCCACGCATGCCCCTGCCACCAATGTCCTCACCTTGCCCCTCCTCCCCCTCCTCCCTGTCATGGCTGCTCCACACGCCCGGCTCCAAGGAGTGGGAGCGGGAGGGCACGCCGTTCTCAATGTGCACACCCTCCTTGTGAATCAGCTCGTCCAGCTGCCGGTTCACCCGCCGGTCCATCCACTCCCCGTCCGTCCTCCCCAGACTCCGCCCCCGAACCAAGTCCCTCCCTCCATCCGCACCCTCCCCCCCTCCTCTCCCCTTTGCTTCCTCCTCATCCGCCCACTTCAAGCTGCTCCCCCGTCGCAGGGAAGACGCCCTGTGCCCCGAGGCCTGCCCCGAGGCCTGCCCCGAGGCCTGCCCCGAGGCCTGCCCCGAGGCCTGCCCTGAGGCGGGCCCCGCCTGCACCCAGTGGCCGTCGGGCTGGTTCAGACTGCCGCCACGTCGCAGCCCGCGGCGGAGCCCTCCCTGCGAGCCGTGGCCGCCCTGTGCATGCCACGACCCGTCGCGCTGGTTGAGGCTGCCCCCGCGGTGCAGGTCCGACTGCTGCTTGCCAGACTTGCCCGACCCCGACGCCACCTGCTCGTCGATGCGCCCCAGGCTGCGCCCCCGGTACAGCTCCGACGAGCCGTGCCGCCCGGACCCAGGAGGAAGCAGCCAGTCGTTGCCGCCCTCAGGGTGGTGGCCCTCCTGCCCGTCGCGCTCGTCCTGAGCGCGGTAGAACTCGTGGTCCTCGTGGTCGTATGGCGCCGCCTGCCCCTCGTCTGAGTCGCCCTCCATGCCATGCCCTTCGTCTTCCTCCCCTTCCTCCGCCTCCCCATGCCCGTACCCCTCGCCCTCACCATCCTCCTGCTCGAACTCATGCCCATCGCCATGGCCACCGCCATGCCCACGCCCCGCATGGTACTCATCGTAGTCCTCCTCGCCCTCCTGCCCGTACTCATGCTCCTCATGCGGCCCATACTCGTCCTCTGGGTGACCCTCGTACTCATCCCCCTCGCCTCCCTCCAATTCCCCATACTCCTCCTCCCCATGCTGCACCCCGTGCCTCTCTCCCTCGTACCCTTCATCCTCTTCCTCCTCGTACGCGCCCTCCTCCTCCTCCCCATACGCCCCTCCTCCTTGCCTGTAAGCACCACCCCCTTGCTCATGCGCTCCCTCACCGCCCTCAAACTCCTCCAGCCCCTCGCCATGCATGTGCTCCCCTTCCCCTTCCTCGTACCCCTCGTCCCCCTCATCATACCTCTCCTGCCCCATTTCAAAGCCCTCCTCCTCATACCCCTCCTCTCCCTCCACATACCCCTCCCTCCCTTCCACATACCCCTCCCTCCCTTCCTCATACCCCTCCCTCGCCTCCACATACCCCTCGTCCCCCTCAACGAATCCACTCTCTCCCTCCCCACCAAGCCCCTCCCTGCCCTCATCGTACTCGTCTCCCTCCTCCAACCCCTCCTCCCCGTGGCCCACATACTCATCCCCATACTCCGCCTCTTCATCCTCCACCCCCCCACCTGCCATGCCATGCCCCTCCTCATACTCGCCCTCCTCCCCAAAGCCCTCCTCTCTCATCGCAACCTCTGCTTCACGCCCCTCTTCCTCTTCCTCTTCCTCTTCCTCCTCCTCGCCCTCCTCGCCCTGCGCGCCCCCCTGCAAGCCCATCCCAAAGTCGAAGCTCCCTCCCGAGTCCCCGCCCCTGTGCCCTCGCCCCTTGCCCCTCGCGCCGGGCCCCTCCCACTCGCCCTGCTCGCCCTCCTCCTCTGCCATCTCGCCTCGCTCACCCTGCCCGTACTCGCCATCCTCCTCCCCCTCGTCCCATTCCTCCCCCTCCATGCCCCCATGCACCCCATCATGCATCTCATCATCATCCCCCATGCCACCATGCGCGCCTTGAGGGAACAAATCCACCCCCTCCTCCTCATCCCCATGCCCATACCTTCCTTCCTCACCCTCCCCATCCCACTCTCCCTCCTCTCCGCCCTCTTCGTGCCACTCCTCTCCTCCCTCCTCCCCCACTCCCTTCCATTCCGTTTCATCCTTCCACTGTATTTTCGTCTGCCTCCTCCTGCCCCCTTCCTCCCCTTCCTCTCCCTCCTCCCCTCCTCCCTGCTGTGACCCAACTCCCTCCTCCCATTCCTCTCCCTCCTCCCCTTCCTCACCATCACCAAACCTCCTCCCCTCCCCCCCATCATCCCCCTCCTCGCCCTCGTCCCCCTCCCAATCACCACGAGGGCTTCTCATCAGCGCCTCTCCGTCCTCCGACCCCCTCCCACTCTCCCTCCTCCCATACCCCGCCCCTTCCTCCCACTCCTCCCTCTCCCCGTCCTGCTCACCCTCCTCTCCTTCCCCATCCCTCCACTCTTCCCTTTCCGCATCCCACATCCCCTCCGCCTCCTCCTCCCCCTCGCCCTCCCCTGTGCCCCCCACCGCGCCCGCCTCCTCCATCCCCATCACACCCAGCACGTCGCCCACGTGGTTACCACTCCGCCTCAGCCCGCCGCGCAGCCCCGCCTGCATGCCGCTGGCCCTTCTCTGCAGCCCCTCCAGCGAGGCGGAGGCGGAGGCGCGGGCGTGCATCTCCTCCTGCTCGCGCTCGTCCTCCTCGCCTCGCAGCTCGTCCATGAGGTCCGAGATGTACTTGCTGCTGCGCGCCAGCTGCGACGACTGCGGCTGCAACGACTGCGCCTGCTCTTGCTGCTCCTGCTGCTGCTGCTCTGCTTCCCACGCCCGCTCTGCTCCCTCCTCATCCTCCTCCATGTCCTCCCTATACTCCTCCCCCTCCTCTCTGAATTCCTCATCTTCCTCATACTCCCCCTCATGCTCCCCATACCCCTCCTCCTGCTCCTGCCCATCCCTTTCCTCCTCCGACAAATAATCCTCCGCCTCACCAGACCCAGCAGCACGGCCGCCCCTGGCAGCAGCGAGAGCAGCAGCAGCGAGAGCAGCAGCAGCGTGTGCAGCAGCCTGGGCAGCCACGTTATCATCATACAAGTCCAGGTCAGACAGCAGGTCCTTCACGTACTTGCTGCTTCTGTGCAGCCCTCCTGCCCCCACGCCCACGCTGCTGCCTCTCGCACTGCCATTGCCGAATCCACCACCCTCCTCCTCATCCTCCGCCTCCTCCTCCTCCTCCTCCTCCTCCTCCTCCTCCTCCTCCTCCTCCTCCTCCTCCTCCTCCTCCTCCTCCTCCTCCTCCTCCTCCTCCTCCTCCTCCTCGTGCCCCTCTCCTCGCTCCCCCTCCTCCTCCAGCTCCTCCATTAAGTCTTTCACGTACTTGCTGCTGCGCTCCAGCCCGCCAGACGCCCGGCTCCTCAGCCCACCAGCGCCAGCGCCAGCACCATCACCTACCTTACCACTGCCACCTCGCTGCAAGCCCAGCCCGCCCATGAGGTCGCTCATGTACTTGCTGCTGCGCTGCAGGCTCTGCGACTGCGACTTGGGGAAGCGAGCCATTGCCGCCTGCCGCCCGCCATCCTCGCCCCTGCCCCTGCCCCACTCGCCCCCTCTCCCCTCCCCAACCTCCTCATCCTCCCCTTCCTCGCCCTCCTCCCCCATATCGTGCACCCCCCCAGTCAGGTACTTGCTGCTGCGCTGCTGACCTCCCTTTGCCTCCCTGCCCCTCGACTTGGCCTTCCCCCCCTGCCCGCCCTCGCCATCGCCATACAGGTCCAGGTCGCTGAGCAGGTGGCTGACGTACTTGCTGCTGCGCTGCAGGCTCTGGGAGGCCGACTTGGGGAACAGCGACCGCGCACACGCACGCCTCTCCCCTTCCTCCCCTCCCATCGCCTCACTCCGCCCTCGCAACCCCACACTACCACCTGCCCTCTCGCCTTCCTCATCCTCCTCCTCTGCCTCCTCTACACTGCCCCCTCCCATGCTGCCATTCTCGCCACCTTCCCCCCCCCCCTCCTCCTCATCTTCCTCCTCCCTCGCCCTCTCCATCTCTTCCCCCGCCCACTGCGCGCCCCCCTCGCCGGCATCATCATCAGAGGGTGCAAAGCCGCCGGCCTCGCCCTCAAGCTCATGCAGGAAGTCGAGCTCGTACTTGCCGCTGCGCTGCAGACTGCTCGACTGCGACGATGACTTGGGCAGCAGCGACCGCGCTCCCTCCCCTCCCACCCTGCCGCTCATCCCCCCTTCTCTCCCCTCCATCTCCTCGTACCCTTCCTCCCCCTCCTCTCCCTCCTCTCCCTCCAACTCCTCCTCCTCGCCCTCCTGGCCCTGCATCTCCAGCATCACATCGCGCATGTACTTGCTGCTGCGCTGGAGGCTCTGCGATGCCGACCTGGGGAACGCACCTCCTGCTCCCACACTCGCTCCCCCGCCTAGACCCGTCTCCCCCCTCATGCCCGTCCCCTCCATGCCCTCCCCATCCCCTTCCTCCTCATCCTCCCCACCCTCGTCCTCCTCCATCTCTTCCTCCCGCCACGCTCCCTTTTTCCCCTGCCTGCCACCCTCGTCGCTCCTGCCTTCCTCCCCGCTGTCCCACTCGTCACCGTCCTCTATACTCAGCTTCTCCTCGCCTCGCCTCCGCCCTCCCGCCCCATGCCCATCCTCATCCTCCTCCTCATCATCGTACACAGGGAACAGGTCGCCCCCTTCCGACCTCTCTCCCATGCTCGTCGCACTGCCAAGCGGCCCAAGCCCCCGCCTCATGCCGCGCGTCCCATCCACACTCCCCTCCCTACCTCCCTCCTCCTCGCCCTCCCCCCCCCCCCTCCGCACGACTGTCCCTCCCATGCACATCCGACCTGTCGTCTAGCTCTGATCCCTCCTCATCCTCCTCGTGCCCACCATCATCATCATCACCTCCCCCTCGCCCTGCAAACCCTACCCCGCGTGTCTGCCCACGCCCCATGAACTCAGGCGTCTGGGGAGTGTAAGGCATCTCATCCTCCCCTTCCTCCTCCTCCTCGTCCTCCCCATGGACCCCCACAGGAAACAGGTCTTCATCTTCCTCCTCATCTCCACCATCCCCCCCGCTAAACCGTCCCTGTGCCTCCTCAACCTCCTCCTCTTCATCCTCCCCATCCCTGCCTCTCCCTAACTCCTCATCACGCCAGTTCTCCTCCTCCCCACTCCCCACCCCCTCGCTCTCCTCCTCCTCTACCTCATGCAGACCCACTTTCCGCTGCTCCTCCCTCACCCTGCCCTCCTCATCCTCCTCCTCGTCGCTCCCCCACTCATGCTCCTCCCTCGGCCCCTCCTCGCCCTCGTCCTCATCGTCCTCGCCTCGCTGCGTCTCTTCCAGCTCATTCCCCACCTCGTCTCGCCACACTATCCGCCTCCCTCTCCGCTTCCCGTCCACACTCCCCTCGCCCTCACTCCCCCCTTCCACACTCCCTTCCACACTCCCTTCCACACTCCCTTCCACACTCCCTTCCACACTCCCTTCTGCCCTGCTCTGCCTCGTGCTCTCTCCCGTGCCCCCATCATCTTCATCAATCTCCTCCTCCTCGTCCTCCCCATCTCCATCGCTCGCCCGCTCTATCTCCCACACCTCATGCTCCTCCTCCTTTGTGAACCGCACGCGCCTCTTCCCCTCTACCTTCCCCTCACCCACCCCCTCCTCCTCCTCCCCCTCCTCCTGAACTCCTTCCCCAGCCTCGGCGCCTTCCTCTGCCTGCTCCTCGTGCCCACCAACACCGCCTTCACCTGCCGCCTCCTCCCGCCCCTCCTCATCCTCCACCTCCTCCTCGCCATCCACCCTGCGCTCCTTACCCCTTCCACCAACCTCACTGCGCCTGCCCACCACCTCCTCCCCATCCACCTCACTCGCTGCCTCCGATCCCTCCTCACTCCTCCCCTCCTCTCCCTCCAGCCCTCTCTCCCTGGGGCTGTACCCATCCCGTGCCCGCCCCCTCCCACGCCCATACTCACTGCCCTCATCACTCAACTCCTCGTCCTCACCATATCGCCGCCTATACCTCTCCTCGTCACTATAATCACCCCTACCCCTCTCACTGCCCCTCTCACTGCCCCGGCCACTGTACCTCTCATCATCGCTGTACCCCTCTCCCCGGGGCCCCCTGCCATACTCACTTCCATCGCTCTCATCATCTCCCCCTTCTCTGCGCCTCCCTCTTCCCCTCCCCCCCATCGCCCTGGGAGTCCCCCCTTCCTCACTCCCAGCTGCAAACCTCTCCCTCTCCTCCTCGCTGTCCCACTCACTTCCTTTCCTCCGCCCCTCGTCCTCCTCCTCGTCCTCACTGCCCTCTCCACGCTGTCTTGCATGTCTTGGCGGCTCGCCCTCCTCGTCAGACCCAACATCAGGCGTCCTCAACACATCCTCTCTCTCATCTGCGCCTTCCTCTTCCTCATTCACACTCGCCCTTCCCTTCTCTCCCCCCTCCTCGTCTTCATCCTCCTCTCCCACGCTCAGTTGCTCACTGCCCCGCAATCCCCGTGGCGTCAACCCCTCCTCCTCAGACACATCGTCTGTCTCCCCTGCCGCTCCCACCCTCTCCTCTCCCTCCACCCCCTCCTCGCCCTCCGCCCCTTGCCCCTCCTCATGCTGCTCCCCGTACAGCTCCTCCTCCTCCCCCCCATCGCCATCCCTCTCCTCGCCCTCCTCTCCCTCCAGCTCTTCGCTCCCACCAAACTCACGTGGAGAGTGATCATCCTCGTCCCCATACCCTCCATACAACTCCTCCCCCTCCTCCTCTTCCTCCTCGTCCTCCCTCATCCCCCCTCGCCTCCCATCCATGCCTCCAGCCGGCCCGTCCTCCTTGTCCTCGTCATAGAGCTCCTCCCCTCCCTCTCTATATTCATCCCCTTCCTCATCCATCCCCTCAACATCTGCTCCTGACACTCCCCTCTCGGCCCCTTCTTCTGGCCCGCCCTCCTCATCTCTATCTAGCCCATCCTCATGCCCATCCTCATGCCCATCCTCATGCCCATCCTCATGCCCATCCTCATGCCCATCCTCATGCCCATCCTCATGCCCATCCTCATGCCCATGCCCATCTCATGCCCATCCTCATGCCCATCCTCATGCCCATCCTCATGCCCATCCTCATGCCCATCCTCATGCCCATCCTCATGCCCATCCTCATGCCCATCCTCATGCCCATCCTCATGCCCATCCTCATGCCCATCCTCATGCCCATCCTCATGCCCATCCTCATGCCCATCCTCATGCCCATCCTCATGCCCATCCTCATGCCCATCCTCATGCCCATCCTCATGCCCATCCTCATGCCCCATCCTCATGCCCATCCTCATGCCCATCCTCATGCCCATCCTCATGCCCATCCTCATGCCCCATCCTCATGCCCATCCTCATGCCCATCCTCATGCCCATCCTCATGCCCATCCTCATGCCCATCCTCATGCCCATCCTCATGCCCATCCTCATGCCCATCCTCATGCCCATCCTCATGCCCATCCTCATGCCCATCCTCATGCCCATCCTCCTGCACCCCTTCTCCTTCTCGCTCTTCCTCGTCCCCCTCCTCCCTCACTGTCCCACCTCCTCCATCAGCCCTGGGGCTCTCGTTATAGTCACTGCCTTCCTCGTCGACCCCTTCCCCATAAGTCCCTTTCTCAATTCCACCTTCCTCGCCCTCTGCCTCCTCTCCCTCTGCCTCCTCTCCCGCGTCCCCTCGGAACGCAACAGCTTTACCACCACGGCCAGGCAGACGAGACTCATCCTCGCTCAACCCATCCTCACTCCTCTCGACACCTTCGGGTTCTTCACCGTACATATCCCGCTCCCCCTCGCTTAGCATTTCCCTTTCCTCCTCGCTTTGCATTTCCCCTTCGCCATCCCCATACATATCCCTCCCCTCCTCGTTCTGCATTTCCCTTTCCTCGCCATAAATATCCCTCCCCTCTTCACTTTGAATTTCCCCTTCCTCCTCGCCATACATATCCCTCTTTTCCTCGTTTTGCATGTCCGTGCCACCCTCGCCATACATATCCTCTTCCTCCTCACCATGCATATCCCTTTCCTCCTCGCCATACATATCCCTTTCCTCCTCACTGTGTGCATCCCTTTCCTCCTCACCATCGCTGAACAAGTCCCTTTCCGCCTCCCCTTGTCGTTCCTCCCCCATGAGCTCACCACCGTTAGCATCAGAAGCGCCTCCTCCTACCCCTTCGTCCTCCTCATCACTCACGTCATTCGCCCCACCTCTCTTCTCTTCCCCAACACTCGCCTTCCCTTCCCTCTCCCCCTCGTTCTGAAGCGCATCCGTCCCCTCCTCCTCGCCTGCATCCTCCCCCGCGTCCACCTCCCCCTCACTCCGCTCCTGGGGGCGCGTGCCCTTGCCGCCCACTCCCACCTCCTCCTCGCCGTGCCTTTCCTCCTCCTGCCCCACCGTCTCACCACCCTCCGCGTCACCCGAAATGTCTTCTGCCTCGCCACCCTTCCCAGCGCCCTTGGCATCCACCGCAGCAGCACCTCCCTCCCCATCCCCATCCCCACCCGCTCCCTCCTCGGCTTCCTCATCTGCACCCTCCGACCTTTCGTCCTCGCTATACCTCCCTCCTCGCCTCCTATACCCCTCCTCCTCCTCGTCATCACTGTAGCGCCCTCTCCTCCTCTCGCCGTCGTCCTCCTCATCACTATACCGCTCTCTCCGCCTGTACCCCTCTCCTTCCTCATCCTCCTCGTCATCACCAGCACGCCTGTCCCTTCGTCGCCCATACTCCCTGTCCTCGTCACTGTACTCATCGTCACTGTATCGTCCCCGTGGCCGCCCCCCATCTCTCCCGTGCGCGCCCTCATCCTCCTCATCACTGTACTGGGGTCGCCTTCCCCTTCGCCCCGCCCCCTCGTCACTGTACTCACTCCTCTCATCCTCGCTGTACTCGCCCCGTCTCTCCCCCCGCCGTCCACCGTACCCCCTTTCCTCCTCATCATCACTGTACAGCCCTTCCCTTCCCTCCGCATCCCCGCCATCCTCACTCCCTCTCCGCCTCCCCCTCGCCCCATCGCTCCCTTCGTCCTCACTGCCTCCCCTCCCGCGTGACCCTTCCGAGCCCACTCTCTCCCCGTCACCCTCCTCATCGCTCCCCCCACCAACGCTGCGGCCTTCAATGTCCCTTCCGTCTGCCTCAGCGTCCTCGCCTCGGTCCTCAACCCGTTCCCCCCCTCCCTCCCCACCCCCCTCCCTCTCCTCCTCCGCCACCCCAGTGCCCTCATCGTCGTCGCCAAGCCTCTGCTCGCCGCCCTCGTCCCCGTCATCCGCATCCGCATCCTCTGCATCGCTCCCCTCGCCGCTTCCCTTCGTTGCAACTCTCTCACCCTCAGTCGCCGTCCGCGCTTTTTCCCGCTGCCCCTCCTCCGCTGTTGCTTCCGCGCCCCCCTCCTCCCCCTCCGACAGCACCTGCTCCTCCCCCACGCGCACTGCCCTCGCGCCCTCTTCCTCGTCGCTGTCCGCACGCGGCAATCCATCCTCCGCCTCCCCCTCTGCATCGTCCGCCTCCGCATACAACCGCCTCTCCCCTTTCTGCAGCCCCGATTCCTCCCCTTCCTGCCCCCCCTTGTCCGGGTATTCCCCCTCTTCCTCCGGGTACTCCCCTTCATTCTGCGGGTATTCCCCCTCTTTTTCCGGGTATTTCCCCTCTTCCTCCTGGTATTCCCCCTCTTCCTCCGGGTACTCCCCCTCTTCCTCTGGGTATTCCCCTTCATTCTGCGGGTATTCCCCCTCTTCTTCCGGGTATTTCCCCTCTTTCTCCGGGTATTCCCCCTCTTTCTCCGGGTACTCCCCCTCTTCCTCTGGGTACTCCCCCTCTTTCTCCGGGTATTCCCCCTCCTCCTCCGGGTATTCCCCCTCTTCTTCCGGGTATTCCCCCTCTTTCTCCAGGTACTCCCCCTCTTTCTCCGGGTATTCCCCCTCCTCCTCCGGGTACTCTCCCTCTTTCTCGACGTATTCCCCCTCTTCCTCGGGGTACTCCCCTTTTTCCTCGGGGTATTCCCCCTCTTCCTCGGGGTATTCCCCCTTTTCCTCGGGGTATTCTCCCTCTTCCTCAAGGTATTCCCCCTTTTCCTCCGGGTATTCCCCCTCTTCCTCGGGGTACTCCCCCTCTTCCTCGGGGTATTCCCCCTCTTCCTCGGGGTATTCCCCCTCTTCCTCGGGGTATTCCCCCTCTTCCTCCGCGTGCATCTCGTCTTCTCCCAGCCCCTCATCAACCTCCTCTTCTCCGCCCTCAGCCCCCTCCGCGCTGCCCTTGTCGCTCCCTGTCTTGCCCCTCCTCAATCCCCCTGACCTTGCCACTCCTCTGCCTTGCCCCTCCACTCCTTCCTCCCCCGCCCCGTGACCCTCTTCGTCGTACATGTCCTCCCCTTCCCCGTGCATGTCCTCCCCTTCCCCATACATATCTCCCCCATCCCCCTGCAGCTCTTCTTCAACTTCTCCCCCCTCTGCCCCCTCCGCATGAACATCACCACCACCTTCCTCTCTACGCTCCGCTTCCGCGTACTCTCCCCCCTCTTCCACGAATGCTCCCCCCTCTTCCGCGTACTCTCCCCCCTCTTCCGGGTGTTCTCCCCCCTCTTCTGCGTATTCTCCTCCCTCTTCCGCGTACTCTCCCCCTTCTTCCGCATACTCCCCCTCCTCCCCATAACCCTCTTCACCATACTCCTCATCCCACTCCCCTTCTTCCCCGTACTCCCCCCCTTCAGCATACTCTTCCCCTTCCGCGTGCTCCCCACCTTCCGCGCCCTCTCCGCCCTCCGCGTGCCCCTCGCCTTCTTCCCCGTACCACTCCCCTTCCCCCTCCTCGCCCTCGTAGTGCTCCTCTCCCTCGCCTGTCCCCTTCGCTCCACCCTCTCCGCCCTCCGCGTGCCCCTCGCCTTCTTCCCCGTACCACTCCCCTTCCCCCTCCTCGCCCTCGTAGTGCTCCTCTCCCTCGCCTGTCCCCTTCGCTCCACCCTCACCGCCCCCTTCGACGTATTCGCCTTCCTCGTCGTAATACTCGCCTTCGCCCTCCCACTCCCCCTCCTCGCCCTCGTACTCCCCCTCGCCTTCGCCCTTCACGCCTCCCTCCTTCTGACCCTCACCACCAGCTTCCTCCTCGTAGTACTCTCCTTCGCCCTCTGCGCCGTATTCCTCGCCGTACTCTTCGCCGTCATCGCCCTCGCCAGGAGGGTGCGGCCGTCCTTTTCCTGAAGCCTCGGGACCACCTTCCTCCTCGCCATAATCACCTTCGTCTCCGTACATGTCATCTCCCTCGTTGTAGTCATCCTCGCCTTCTTCGTACGGCTTGTTATCATCGTCGTCACCACCTTTCGCCGATCCGTCGCCATCCATACCGAATCAATTTCGCAGGTACTAATATCCTTTCTCTCGAAGTCTTGAAGGTCAGCGACAAGGTCTAGCCTAATCTCAAAGCAGAATGTCAAATGTTAACAATCCTAAGGCCATAAACCTTAATGGCGCGTACGCTTCGCGCTTTGCATACACCAACGTCGCCGAAACCTTGAGTGCAAATCAAAATTAAGTTAATGCTAGTCACCCAATTCCTTGACAACGCGGTTCGGGAATCAGTTGTTAGTCACCAGCCTTCATGAAGAACCGATACATAACTATTCACTTAATAAATATTTACAAAACTTCACCTTTCCTCAGCACGTCGCGGATGACACCTAACTCTTTTGCGCTGCTCGCCTTTGAAAGGCCTTCGTGGAAAACTCTGCGAGTGAAACGGAAGGGGTGGGAAGGAAGAGCTGGGGGCGAGTTCGACAACCCCAAGGCACGCATCAGTCAGTTGGGCGAGGTGGGGGAGAGGAGGAAGTGTGTGCAGCCGCCGTACCATCGCTGGCCCCCACTGACCACAGCTACCAACCAACCAAACCGAAGCAAACACGGAAATCCCTCGATCAGACCGTTGCGGTTGTGATAACCTCGGGGCTGCCTCTGTCGCAGTGGTTTGGGAATGACGAAGCTATCCTCCCAACCAGCAGCTTGCTTCGGACTCCTACAAACCGAAGCACGGATCTGGTTTGAGAATCAGAGAGGCAGGTTCGAATACGTACCTGAGTTCAAGGTCTGGAGGCCAGGCTCCGCCCTGGAAAGCGGTTCCCCTCGAAACAACTTCGGCCAAACTATGCCTGGAGCGGTTTGCATCCGTACTCAACCTGACGATTGGTTCTCGCTTTTGAATCACACTTTCCACTCTAAGGGAGTGTAACCATTTTGCCTATTTTTGTTCCGGACAGTCCGAAATGTGGACCGTCCGGGTTAGCGAAAGGTTACCAGAAGCGCACAATTTTCGCTTGTGTGTTCGTGGAGCTCCTTGCAACGTAGCCAACATTCCGAACCGTCATGACACCTTTTCACGTTTCCAACGGTCCGAAATGGCATTTCGGACGGTCCGAAACCCCAACGGACGGTCCGCTAGTTCTGCGCACGGATTGGCGCGCGAAGTTCACTCTGCAATTCAGCGCAGGGATTGACGGGCGAACTGTATTAGCGAACATTGTGACAGCTTGTGTATTTGGTTACGAGTGTAGCGGGAACTGCGCGAGGCTACAGTAATCGCGAAGTCGGAGTATTAGCAAAAAGTGTCATGTTTCTCTCCGGACGGTGGCAAGGTTCCGAAACGTCACATCAGACGGCCCTGTTCGCGATATTTGGACCGTCCGTTTAAAAAAAAACAGACGGTCCGAAAAAAAAAAAAAAACAACAGAAAACAAAATGGTTACACGCCCTAATCCCCGCCCCATGTGACAGAAACATAACCAAATTACAAACGATTGTGTTGAGGAGGTGCCGCCCAAGAACCGACAAAAAAAACTCATTGAATGCTCAACCCCTTACACGCTGAAGCTTCCTGACATGGGGCAACTTATTTTTTTTTTGCACGCCCTTGCGTCGGAGTGCGACTTTCTATTAAATAAAACACATTAGGAGACAGAAGAAAATTAGAAAGGCATCAACCCTAAACACTGGACGACTTTCCGTGTTTACAACGTGTTGCACCAGCTGGTGCACTGTATCGGCTCAGGTTAAGGTTATATATTGATCGTTATCAATGTACACAATGCAAAAATCATAGAGCTGTCTAGAAACATGGTCGAGATGGCCATCATCCTATAAGGACCACGTGAAAGACACGTTATTTCCTTGTCCTGAAGGACAACCACCAGCAACCTGGGGAGACGCTCTATGCAGTAGCTGTCTACGGGGGTTGCAAAGGGTTCCCTAGGAGCCATGAAAATCTGAGGTCGGGGTGAATGGATGGTATGCCGCGTCTGTCAAAGAGGGGGAAGCGGAGCTTTTGTGTTCGCTTGATACCAGAGGTGTCAGAAATAGGAAAGAATGATTGACTAGAATGACAGCAGTACAAGGTTTGTATAGCAAAACCTAATTGGGCTGTACCCCATAAGGAGTGCCCCACTACAGCCTAGAGCATATAGGGTGGATCACAACGTCACCACGCATTCTGAGCGCAAGCAAATGGCCACAAGGCCAGTTCACATGCAGGGTTATATATAAGGGAGAACAAGCAGTACAGTGATAGCAACCTAGCAAGTGTAAGCATGCAGTTATATGTATAAAGATCACAGTACAAGCAAAGTCAAGAAGTGAGCAAGTGAGGCCAAGTAGGCACAAGGCCTAGAACAGTACAGAAACGCTGATGATCACAAGGCTGAAGTGCCTTGGTGAAGACATCAGCAGTGTTGGCCTGAGAGGCCACGTAAACAAGACGAAGCTGACCACGCTGCTGCAACTCTCGAGCAAGGAAGTAGCGCAGAGCGATGTGCTTCGTTCTGTGCTCCAGTATGTGCTCCTGACACAAGGCAATCATGGCCTTGTTGTCGACGTACAGAACTGGAGGAGAACGAGGCGGCTCGCCCAAGTCGGTCAGCAGGTAGGTGAGCCAGCGTAACTCCTGTGCAGCCATGGCCCCTGCGTAGATCTCAGCCTCACAACTGGAGCTGAGAACTGAAGACGAGCGGGTAGACCGACACGAAACAGAGCCGGAGCCAAGGCTGAAGGTGTAACCCTGTGACGACCGCTGCGTAGCCAAGTCGTCAACCCAAGAAGCGTCTGCGTGACCAGTGAGGACAACTCGAGCCCGTCCTCAAAGCACGAGCCCCATGCCCGACGTACTGCACAAGTAGCGCATCACCCTCTTAGCGACCTTCCAGTGCTCTGGTCGGTGTCTCCCGGGCGCAACGTAGCGAGCCAGGATGCTAAGAGGGTAAGCAAGGTCAGGTCGAGTGCAGGTCATCAGGTACATGAGGCAGCCCACAAGCTCTGGATACGGGCCACTCGGCTCTACGGACTCATCCGAAGGCAGAGCTGAGAGCGAGTGACCGGTAGGCAGAGGAGTGGCCTGTGGCGAGGAGTACTCGAAGCTGAAGCGCTGAAGGACCTGCTGCACCATGTGTGACTGAGTCAAGGTAATGGTGCGCTGTGCTCTGTCCCGGGTGATCTGCAAGCCAAGATAGCTGCACAGCTCACCCAGGTCTGTGCACGTGTGTCTCTTCTACAGCTCCGACTTCATGTGGGCGAGTCCCTCAGTGTCAGCAGTGGCAAAGACCAAGTCGTCGACGTACACGAGGATGTAGAACAGTGGCAGAGAAGTGTCGGTGCGTAGAAACAACGACGGATCAGCAGTAGAAGGTGCAAGCCCAAGAGCCGCAAGAGTCGTCATCTTCGGGGTGGGGGAGAAGGTATGGAAGAAGTCAACTCCCTGTCGCTGACTGAAGCCTCGTGCAACGTAACGCGCCTTGAAGACAGGCGGAGAACCCGGCGGCCGCTTCACCCTGAAAATCCACATGCCACTGACGATGTTCGTCCCAGGTGGGGGAACCTCATCAACGTAAGTGCCTGTGGACTTCCAGGATGCCATCTCTACGTCCATGGCTGTCTGCCACTGAGAGGAGTAAGGACCCGTAATCGCCTCTGCGTAAGAGCGCGGGGTCGGGATGTCTGGTGCATCCGGGTCTCCCTCAGGTGCAATCAGCATGGACACGAGATGAGGTACAGCAGCTGCAAAGCACTCAAAGTCCTCCTGCCTGTCCTCAAGGACGTCCGTGCCAAGAGCACACTCACCCCCGACGGACGGAGGACAGACAGACTCAGACTCAGCAACAAGGCTAGCGGCGTAGTCTAGACGACAGGCGGCAGCAAAGTCAACAAGCTCAGCAACTAGAGCAGACGCAGCAGTGGACTCAAAGGAAGGGTCAGTGACAACAGTAGCGAGAAGACGCGTGACAGTAGGACTGGCAGCACGAGCAAGGTCTGACGGCGGGTCAGCAACGTCAGGAAGAGAGGACGCAGGAGGAGACGGCAGAGGGACACGCTGTGGAGCAGTGGAAGGACGCAGAGTCATATAGTGAGTGCCAAGTACAGGAGGAGGACGCTGACGCGGAGCACGACGACCAGCGCGGACAGCGCGGACAGACGACTCTGGACGAGACTCAGGCGACGCAGGACGAGACTCAGGCTCACGATGCTCCGTAAGACCTCTAGTCGGCCCAGCGTAAGGAGAAGGACCAGGCAGCGGAGAGGCTGGCTGTAACTGCGACTGCGACTGGTCAGGCGGTGGACACAGCAAGGGAGGATTAGGACCAGTAGAAGGCGGGAGACCAAGAACCTGCTGAAGGAGTGGAACGAAGTACGGCCGCGGCCGCGCAGCGCCTCCAGAACCAGTAGAGACAGCACCAGTACCCCCAGCTCCAGGGTCTCCATCTCCAACTCCTGCAGCACCACCAGCTCCAGCACCTCCAGCAGCTCCAGCTCCAGCAGCACCTCCAGCAGCAACAGCTCCAGCGCCTCCAGCTCCAACTCCTGCAGCACCACCAGCTCCAGCACCTCCAGAAGCTCCAGCACCAGCAGTACCTCCAGCAGCTCCAGCTCCAGCAGCTCCAGTACCTCCAGTACGAGCACCTCCGGGACCAGCGACTCCAGCACCTCCAGCAGCTCCAGTACCAGCAGTACCTCCAGCAGCTCCAGCTCCAGCAGCTCCAGTACCTCCAGTACGAGCACCTCCGGCAGCTACAGCACCAGCAGGACCTCCAGCAGCTCCAGCTCCAGGAGCACCTCCAGCGGTAGGCCCCCCAGCTCCAGCAGCACGGCTACAGCGCCGAGCGTACCACTCGCGCAGCTGCTGTGGAGAGAGGGGCTCCCGCCGTGACAAGACACCCGGAGGACCTCCAGACTCAGCACGCTCAGGCTCAGCACCCCAAGGCTCAGCACCCCCAGACTCAGCACCCCCAGGCTCAGCACCCCCAGGCTCCGCACGCTCAGGCTCAGCACCCCCAGGCTCTGCACCCTCAGACTCAGCAACCCCAGGCTCA